CGCGGGGGACGCCCCGGGACGGGACCGTGGGCCCTGCCCGGGCTTTGTCCGGGCCCGCTCGCTCCGCTCCCGTATTTTTAGCTGCATCTGATCCCCAGTAACTCACTCCCCCAGCGCCGGGGATCTTGTTTCCCTCCGTCCTGTGGAGCACGGGAGGGGAAGTGTTTCCCATTGTTCGGGTTTTTTTTTTTTTGTCTCAGAGAGAATCTGTTAATTTACATCTTAGTGACGAATCAGGGAGAAAGAAGAGAAAGGCCGGGTATCTGCTTTGATGGCTTTGCTGACAGCTGAGGGTAACGCTGATGTGGAGGGGGGATGGCGTTGGTGTGAAAGCGCCTGGAAGGGATGGACACGGAGAGGGAACCTGAACTTGGGATTGCACTTGTCTGCTCCCTTTGATCTCCACCTACAGAAATGTGTATTGACCCGAACGAGCCGTCTACAGCGCTGAAAAATGAAAAGCATCCCGTGATATAACTGCACATTCTGTTCGAGTTTTGAAAAGTGTTTTCCTGTGTGGGATAATAGCACACATTCCAGAGAAATCCATAGAAACGACAGTCAAGACGCAAATTCTGGGGGGGGTGACTCGGGAGCTGTACGTTTTCTAGGATGGGAGTCACTCTGTAGTTGCAGACCCTGATGTATAATTAACAAAATTGCAGGAAGTATTTAGCCGGACAGACGTGATACTTCAGCACGTTCAAGAATTACACCCTGATAGGAGCCCCGTAAGTGTTGAAGAGAAGCCCGACATGTAGCAGCCCTTGCCGGTGCCCTGAAGCTGCACTGGTGTGTCTTGGCAGTGTGTCCCTATTTGTTTTGTGCTGAATATTAGAATAAATTCTGTGATGTGAGGAATTTTTTTTCTTTCTTCTAAACTGCTGCTGCTGAAGTCCAGTGAATAAAAAGTGCTTGCTGGCAGATACAAGTTTTTTTTAAAGCTTACGTGGTTCTAAATTACGCCTGAATTGTCCATGAGGTTTAGGAATGCATTGAATTTTTGTCAAATCAGCATAAAATTTTGTGCAATTTATTGCATTTATATCTGTGATTCTAGGAAGACTTATGGAGTTTTTTGGTTTTTTTTTTTCTCTCTTTGAAAACAATTTGTTAGCTCTTGTAAGAGTCACAAATCAAGCATATGCCTTATGCAGGCCTTCTTGTGTGGATGTCAGTGTAGGTAACGAATCTTCCTCTGTCGTCAGAGCTTTTTAAAATTTTTTCTTAATGAAGAACTTGTTCGTAAGTGTGGATGGTTGACTGAGAACACGATAAACAGTAAAATAAATGAACCTACAGGTGTCTACTCTCGAGTAAATGTGTTCATAGCAAAACTTCCCTCACTTGAATAGAGCTGTGTAGCATCAGGTGATATACCCACAGGCAGTTGCTGGCTCAGACATTGCTGTCTGTCTTGAAAGCTCCTGCACTGATCCTAGCAGTTCCTAAAGCTTTACCTTAAAGGTAGCATTTCGTGTCTCACAGTCAAAGCCAAAGGTACCCTTTCCACAGATTTTGAACTACCACGGTTAGTGATTTTTAAAAAAACAAGAAAAAAAATACCTAGAGTATTATGCAGTGTTTCGTGCACTTTGAGTTTGAGGGGATTTATGATTTTAAATTGTTTACTGTTTACAAGATGTGCAAAAACTCCAGATATGAAAAATTCCTGATGCTCCATCATTGCTATGGTGCTGGCCATAGGTCACTCATTTTTACTTTCAAGTGGCAGCTTAGATTCAGTGTTAGAAATGGGAATTTAGGAGTTTTGTCCTTGTTTTGGATAATTGGTGCTTTTACAGTGTCTTATCCAGAATTAGTGTATAATATATAGACATTAGGAGTGAAAGGAAGGAAGAGTATAAAACAAATTCGGAAACTTGCTTGTGGTAACTAGCCTCAAGAAACTGGAAGGTGAACAGTTTAAAGCTAGCTGCTGAAAAGTCTGCTGTAAAATGGACATCATTTAGAAGGGACTAAAAACTGGTATGTTTGCTTCTCTTGGGTTTGCAGCAAGGATGTGTCAACTTCCTGAATAGTTCTTGCAGGGTTTGCAAACTAAAGGAGACTTGTTGGGTGAAGAAACACAGTTGTAGAAGATGACTTCTGTGTCTCTTGTAACTAACTTCTGTATTATTTCGACATTTAAAATACTTTTTCACGTCCTGCCATGATTTTTATTTAGCTGCTGATTTCCAGCTGCAAAATGCACTCCCAATAATAATTTCAGTACTGCATGTCAAATTTCTTTAATCAGTGAGTACTGTTGAACTGGCTGTGTAAAATACCTGCTTCCAAAAGTGAGATAGAAGATTGGGCTGACAGTATGGATACACAGAATAACGGGGAATAACTTCTTTTTGGAGTCTCTGCCAATACCTGTCTCTTGGTTTCTGTGGCAGTACGTGTTATAAGCTACAGCAGAAATGCCTCAGAGAGGAAGCATCTTTTTAAACAGGTGTCTGAGTTAATGAGAAAGTGGCCCATTAATGCATCAGATATTTTCCAGTGCATTGAGCTTAACAGCTAACATGGGAAATAATTAAAACACACCAAAAAAAAGAGTGTGTTTTTATGGGGGGGGGGAAAGGAAGTGATTTCAAGAGTGGACCAACATTTTCGTAGACGGTTGCTAATTTTGAGTGCCTCCATTTTAGAACCCAAAAATTACAACTGTTTTTCTAAGTGCAAAGAACATGCAGCTCCATTTTTAACCAGTGAATCTGTGATTAGGAAAGAGTTAGCTTTGGCTTTATTTTTTCTCAAGTCGTCAAAATTGAGTATGCTTTCAAGTTTGTTTTCCTTTTTAGTGTATGAGTTCTTCACCATCTGTTGGCAATATGCCTTCTGCTGTTTTTCCATACAAGTTTAATGTTTTTTCCTAGTTTCTCTCACTTTTAGTAGTTCTTCTCAAAGGCTTTATTTTGCAGAACAGATGTGTCTCTTTTCTTAATCCTTGTCTCCGGTTTCTGTTCTTAAATAGTTCCCTAATAGCTGCAGGAAATAATTTGCCAGTTTATTACATTTTGAAATTTTTACACAGTAAAGTAGATGCTTTACATCTTTTCTCCTGAAGTTTCTAAAAATGTGGACAAAATACACCGCAGTCTTCTAAAAAAATGTTTAGCACTTGCTAAATTGTTGACAGCATGAGAGATAAGCACAAGTTCTTGGTGTTGATACTAAACTCATAAAAGCACATTTGATATGTTGATGTGGCAGATAGATTCATAATATTTTTTTTACTCCTTTACCTGAAGAGATAGAGAGCACCCCCCTTACTCAGTACTTCCCTGTGTTTTACAGGCTCAGATAAAATGCTTCAGTGGATCTAGTGGATTTTTTTTTTTTTTTTATTTGGAGGGATTAATTTAAAACCTTTTGGCCTGGATACTCATTTGATTAGGCTGTAGGCACAAAATGAGACGAGAGATCACAAACATGAGCTTAACCCAGTGCTGTGCTCCCATAATCTTCCAAAAGCTGTTGGGGACAGCAGGTTTTGAAAGCGCAATTTAGGGATGTCTCATGGCTTCTCTGCAACTGAGGTTGCTGCAATAGCCTCCCTGTGCCTCCTCTGTTAACTGAGTGTCACCTGAACACATTGTACATGTGTCCCCATCCACCTGTCTTGTGCTTCATTGCAGCTGTCCCCCATTCGGGGAGGTGGCACATCAGCCTGTCCTGACAGTGCTCTGGAGATGCTGAAGAAGTCCTCAGTTTGAATAGTCAGAGAATTTCCTTGAAATAGTCCACTGCATTTCTGTGTGAAACTTGCCCCGTGGATGGATGTATTGGTTGTCTTTTGCTCAACAGAGAAGCTTTTGTTATGCTCTCACCGCGACTCAAGTAATATGTTACATCGGTGTTCTGATGCTGTCTTTTCAAAGGCATGGTAATTAATATAATTAAAAGTTGTGAGCCAGATTAATTCTGATCTAGGAGTTGCACCCATTTATAGAAATATCTGTACAAAAATTCTCTTGGGCCCCAGCTGAGATGATTTATTGTCTGTGATTGTGTGTATTGTATAAGAAGCAAGACTGTGGTAGTGTAAAGTTACAGTCTTGACATGGAGTGGTTGTGTGAAGCTGGAACTGTTAGTGTATGTTGGAACAGCTTAAAAGGGGGAAAAATGCCATGGGAAAACATTACATACAGAAAGATATCCATGAAAAAAAGCAAACCCACTTGTAAGTTTACGTTCATAGAAGTGAAAGGAGTGTATTTTAAAATTGTCTGTGCAGGTCTTGCCCTTTTTTCTGCTTATCCTCCACATCTTGCTGATGACATGTATGAATTACAGTTGCATTTGTGGGCGTGAACTGAAATACCACTCCAGTCCATAGTTCCTTAATCTGGTGGAAACTTCAAAGGGCTTCAGAGGAGAGCGTATCTTTGTTGGTGTGTTGCTGGCTGGTGCCTTCTGGCAGTAGTCCCTGGTGGAGATCAGCTTCAGTGAGGAGAGAAAGTGATGGAGGAGCTGAAGTTGAGAGTTTGCTGCATGGATAAGAAATGGTAGAGTAAGCCAGGGATAAAGTCACTCCTGATAAATAGTCAGGATACAATTTGCACACCTGCATCCAGAAAATACGTTAACGCTCCGTGTCTTGTGCTGCAGGTCTGCTAAATTATTTATATGTGAAAGCAATAATAATAATTTTTTTTAATATCAGTGTAGGGATATAATGAAATATACGTATTATGAAAGCCATTGTAATTACACTCAGGATTATTTGGTAAATGTGCAATATGCCATGACACTTCCTACTCCTTCAAGGGCTCAACAAGAACTTAGCAAACTGCCTAGAGAATTGTATTGCTGGTCATCGGTCCTAGGTGGAAAGTTTCTTGAGGGTGCTAAGTCTAAACTTCCTTTCTAGACAACAGGAAACCCCCCAAACTGTTCACTCGTGTTTCCTGTCTCAGTGCATACTGGTTTCAGCATAGCCTGCCAGGCTGGTTGATTGATGCTGTCTTCCATTTTGCTAGTGTAAAAAGCTGGTGGGGCAGAGAGAGAAGAGAGAAAGGAAGGCAAACGTGAAAATAAAGGATACCAGATGGTATTACAGAGTTAGATAACTTTAATCTTGAAAATACTGACTATTTGTTGAATATTTTACTTTTTTGCTTGTTTAAAATAGATTTTAAACTACATTTGGTTAAAAATGCATGTTAGAAGCGGCTAGAGGAAATGAGAAGAGTATGCTGAAGTTTGAGTTCTCTGTGTTATCATCTCCCTTATAAAATTAGAGCCAGTTTCTAGACTCACTGTTGTTGAGTTGGCAGTAGGTCTGTTCCTAACCATTCTGGCCAGAAGATTTTCCAAGAGGGATTTTGAAAAGGAGAGAATATAGTCACATTTGACAGAGTACTGCTTTCTGCTTTACGTGGATTTCTGCAAGAAGTGTCTTAAGTTGGATCAAGATGCTGTACAGTTCTGTCCCTGTCTTCCTGTACCCCTGATCATCACTTCAACAAAGGAAGAAAACTCGGCTTAATGAGCACTTCTGCAGACCCTGTTAATGTTTGTAGTCAAACTGGTTGTAGTCAAGAAACCAAAAATAACACCACTTGCTTATGACAGACTTGTGTTCTTCCAGTCTTTGTGCTCATCCTTGTTTTTGCCTCCCCATAGACACAAGAAGAGAAATGTATTTGTATTTTGAAGAAGTAATGGTCTGTGGAATAGACTAAAGCAAATCAACCATGACTTTTCTGTGAGCTA